CATACACACACATGCACACATACACACATACACATGCATACACACATACACACACATACACACACACGCTGGAGTACACACACATACACATATACACACAAGCACACATACACCATGCACACACACACTCATACAAATGCTCAAGTACACACACATACACATATACACATAAGCACACATACACATGCATGCGTGCGCACACATACAAACACACACCCATGCACACATACAAGTGCACACTCATTCAGGCCCGCACAGTTATGAATGCAACAAATTGCCCCTTTGCACATACCTATCCCTGTGTGCCTCTCTCTTTTGTCACGAAGAGACTGTCTTCTTTAGGGATCACCTGGGAACCTGTCTCCATCTCAGCCATCCATACTCCACAGCTTTGTTTTTTTTTTTAATTTACTTCTATAAAATTTTCATTACATTGTCTTCATCCCACCCAGGCAAGCTAAGGGCAGTAATTCCCACTTATCATTCCATCCTTACTGGTAAATGGTGCCTAAAGCGTAATAGAAGATCAATATATTGCTTAATTATTTTCCTCCTTTCTCTTGCTCACCTGTGCCTCTCGGCGTTAACCTCCCAGAGTCAAGTCCCTAAGCTGGTTTGAATTTATACTTTCAAGTACTTGTTATTAGTACTCCACTACACGGTGTTCTAGATGCCTCTCAAGTTTAAAAACTGAAGGGGGGAAATCCTCCTAAATGTCTGGCTCCAAGTCTGGTGTTTGAAATAGAACCAGAAGTTCCTTGAGGTAAACTGATTCTTCCGAACTAACTAGGGCTGTCTCAGCTGAGTCCAGGTTGTCATAGAAGTCATGTTAGTCGCTTTCAGTGGGTGGTTTGCCTGTATGTTTAGAGCATTTCTCTGGGTCTCTCTTCATATATAAATATATACTGTGATGGTTTTGTATTCATAAAACCCTTGATTTTTTTTTCTAGAAATTAATGTTCCACAGACTCTTCCTCCATCTTAGGGCTTCCAACAGAATCAGGGTCCACTACTTAGTTTTTTGTTTTAGTTTTTTTGGTTTTGTTGTTGTTGGTTTTTGTTTTGTTGTTGTTGTTGGGGTGAGTGTGTGTGTGTGTGTGTGTGTGTGTGTGTGTGTGTGTAACACTTGGAGAAATATGAGTTTCAAGACTTTCTGCTCTGTAACCATCC